TCGATACCAAAAGTACTCAGAACTCGATTCTCAAAAGGATCGACAGCACCCGATTTTTAAATGTATCGATACTAAATACTCCAAAGTACTCAGTACTCACGAAAGGACTCGAAAGTTGTCAGAATGTAAAAGAACTCAAAAGTACTAAGTATTCACAAAAGAACTCGAAAGTACTCAGTACTCAAAAATTCTCTGTTCCAATCATTACTTTGATACATGTACTCACAAACTTAAAAGTACTGAATAGATACTTAAAAGTACTGAGTTTTATTTACATTTACCGGTATTTACAAATTATTGTACTCAATTTGAAGTTTCAATAGTTTTCAAGTAGCCACTCGTTTGACATCATTTGGGATTAATATATTAATTTGAATAAACTGCTGTCAGCTTGCGAGATTTCTACACTAATCATTGAAATGTTACCAACAAGTGTATATTTAAAGAAAGTACCCAGTACTCTGAAAAATACCCGATTTTTAAAAGTATCGATATCAAAGAACTCGATCCTCAAAAGTACTCGATACTTCCCAACATTACATAGAACCGTTTGAATAAGGTAACAGGGGGTGCTGTTGTATTTTTACTTACTCCTTTATTGTGAATATATGAACGAAATTTCGGAGTCCTTCCTTCATCGGTGCCCTTTGAATGGCATTTTTAAGGGGTTTCTAAGGCTAGGTCTGTATTGGAAGTATGCTTTAAAATAAACCGATCACACACATTTTTCGTTTTTATACCCGAGCGCACTTGTGCACAAGGGTATTATAACTTTGTTCACATAACGGTTGTTTGTAACAGGCAAAACGAATCGAGATAGATATAGACAAATGTATACATAAATGATCAGGATGAAAAGAGAAATCGATTAAGCGGTGACTGTCTGTCCGTCCGTCCGTCCGTCTGTCCGTCTGTGGACACGATAACTCGAGTAAAAATTAAGATATCTTAACGAAACTTGGTACGTGTACTTCTTTCGGGCGTAGGACGGATGGTATTGAAAATGGGCAAAATCGGACAATAACCACGCCTACCTCCCATATAACGGTAATTTTCAGAAATACGTAAACTGCGATATTTTAGTAACTACTGAAGATTATTCACTCAAAATTGATATTTGCAATAACTTTTAGACGAAAAATAAGAATATTATAAATTTTTGAAAAATGGGCGTAGCCACGCCCACTTATGGTTACATGTGTATATCTTGGCAACCGCTGCACCGATTTCTTCCAAACTTGGCACAGTTATTGACCTTGGTACAGGATACCAAATGGCTGAAAATTTTAAAAATCGGACAATAACCACGCCTACATCCCATATAACGGTAATTTGGAGAAATACGAAATCTTCGATAAATCAGTAAATATTAAAGCTAATTTATTAAAAATTGATGCTTGCAACAATTCTTTACCAGGAAATACGCTTATCATAACATTTTGGAAAATGGGCGTGGCACCGCCCACTTATGATCACATATATGTATCTCGGTAACCGTTCCACCAATTTGTACCAAACTCGGTATGGTTATTGTGCTTGCCACATAAAAGCAAAACGTTCAAAATTATTGAAATCGGACTAAAATTACGGCTTTTCATATAACGGTAAATTTAAAAAATGCTTGAAACGTCAATATTTCGAAATTTAAGGACGCTAATTTATTCAAAATTGATACACCCCGGCTTACCATGTAGCGGTAGCTTTCGGGAAGGTGAAAAGCCATATATGTAATACTTGCGCCGGGTATTTGATGTTCGGCCCCGCCCGAACTTAGACTTTCTTACTTGTTTTTCTTGATTTATGTCCTTAGAGATTACATACGAAAAATTAAAGCTATACGCCTACTCCTTCTATTTTCTCCAAACAATATATGGGGCTAAACCACTTTGTGGCGTTACCGGTACTAAAGCTACATGTCTATTTGCAAAATGGTAGTAATTTGCTATGGCTTGCAGCTTTTTCTCCTTTGTTACTATGGCACAACCAGAATAACTCGCAACCAGTTTTGTTGGAAGAGGGTATTTGGGGAGATGCTCCTCCTCTGGCAGCGTGGAATCTAACCCTGTTGTTCGCTGTTATTGCTGTCGTTTTGACGTTGCCATATTTCATGAGTAATCCAGAAGTGGTTCGTCCCCTATCCATAGAACCGGGATGCGTGTAGAAGGCAATTCTTACAACTAACCTTGCCGTAACGTCCAGATACTTTTTTTCCTGTTGATTTTAGAGCTTCTCAACGTCGATCTTTCCTTGTGCATTAACCAAATTGCTAGGTTTGTTTTATTACTACTTTTATCTTCAATTCGGCGCCATAATACTTTTACCTATATTAATATCTACAAGTATATTGGGTGATTGCTTTTAATTTTACCTTATCAATATTTTTATTATTTTTCTGCTTATCGATATTACGCACTGTAATTAGATTATAAGTACCTTTACAGACAAATACAAACCATGTAAGTCGCGTTAATAATCTCCTTCTAAAGTTAATTACCGAAATGAAATATTAAGGCAATTACTTAGTCTCCCTTTTGTATGCATACATGCATACATAGTACATGTGTATTTACATATTGGCATTACTTAATTGTTTCAAAACAGTTGGCAATCGTATCTAACTAATAGTTTTCGTAGTTACCAATTAATCAGTAAGACAAATTGCTGAACTCTTTTAAATAGTAATTGCGGTTGTTAACGAAATAATAAAACTTACTGGATTTTTGTTTGTAGTTTAGCATTAGAAAAGTTATATGTACAGTTGCGATCAAAATAAAAGCATGAAAATTCAGAATGGCGTTGCTTGCAACTTATATTTATTTACTTTTTTTTAATAATTTTCATTTAAATTATAGATTGGTCTATAAAAGTATATTCACATCATCGTAGTATACGGCTTATTTGTAATTTATAAGCAAATCATGCTGAAATCAATTAATTTCGTTTGTAAAATCTGTCAACAAATTAAATAGAAATGAGATAATTTATCATAAATCCAGAACCAACCGAAGAAAAAAAGTCGTTCATTTATTTAAAAAAAAAAAATCCCCTCAAAAGATAAAACAGTTTAAGCTTAAAAAAATCTGCATAAAAATATTTAAAAATTTGTTCAACGGAATCGTAATAATGATGGTGTTTTTGTTGCTCCAGCTTGGAATGATGCTCGCTTATCCTACCTTTCTCTTTCACACTTTGAATAAATTTATTTGCAAAGAAATGGAAAGCGTGAGAAAATACCTTTCCAGTGATACCTTATTAGTCTAAATCAGGATAGTTTTGGTCCAGTTATTCAAGTTTTTCTTATACCAATCATTGAAGAAAGACAAAAAGCGCCATCAAAAATCTCATTATTACTATGCCGTCAAAATTTTTGCCGATTTATTAAGCTTAAACTGTTTTGTCATATGAGGGGATTTTTTTTTTGAAAAAATTCTTTAAGTAACTATTTTTTTTATAAAAAATCCAGTTTTGGAGATGCTTCCAAATCGGTCCAGCTCACGTAAATCTTAATATTTTCCCGAAATACTTTGGTGCAAGTCTTAAAATACAAAATAGATTTTATACATAATTCCAATGGAAACACAGTACCGATTTTTTTTTTATGTAAATTTTTTTGTTATAAATCGAACTACATACTATACTTTAAGTGCAAATGATTGAAAATAAATAAATACACATGATCTGCAATCAATGTCATTTTGAATTATGCTGCTATTTATTTGACCACACCTGTATGTGTGTTATCTTTTTCATCTAAATACTACATTAACTCTAAAAATATATAGTGAGCTTTATAGTCCAGAACTGTTAAGTTTTAATCACTTGACCTTTAATCCGATAGAAACTAACTAACTAACTAACATTTTCATAACTAGTATTCTAACAGGTCTATTCTGCGCTGGTAATACAAAGTTTGTAACCGGTAAATAAAGTTCCTGTAAATTTTTAAACCCTTTTCGCATTCTGTGTATTCTTGTAACCGGTAAATTTTGTTACCATCTTATAAGCTGGTAACAAATTATTGCCCCGTGAAATATGCAATGCCAGGATTTCCACAATTCTTCATAGCTGAATTGCTGAATATTTTAACTGCGTTGCCAACGTTCCTAGAATCGCGGTGACAAGAACTGGTAACATTTTTTGGTAATAAAATTCTCCGGTTACAAAATCTTCGGTAACGTGCAGAATAGACCTGTAAGTAAGCAGTTCTCAAGAAAAATTGCTCAAAATATTAACATACGGGAATTTTTTAAGTGCTGCATACTGATTTTTGAAATTTTGATAGAAGGAAATTTCTTTTCCATTTCTTGTGCGTCATTTTGTATGAATTTGCACTTTATCCTGAAAGCTGCAGATAGGCGTTAAACAACTCCAAGGTAAAAAACCACGAATATGCATTTATAGTTTTTATCGTTTCCTTAAACGTTCTGTTTGTCGATATCGTTATCGTTTATTGAACATGAGCACTGACAGAATTTTGTTGTTTGTAACCGTTATCGACTTCCTTATACAAATATTTAATGATCAGCATATTTACATACATACATACATATGTATGTAGAAAGAATATCAAAAACAGGTAGTTCTTTTTAAAAATTTGCATGTAACTCCGTTGTTTTTAACTTGTAACTTTAAAACTTTAATTGAAGTTGTCTTTTAATATACATATTTTACCAAATCTGTGAAAACGCGGTTTCGCCGTAGGTGAGTGGCTAGAGGTGCGTACTTACCCTCAGTAGGACCCAGGCCCGACTAACATAAAAAAATTTAAAAACTTCCGAGCATATTTCTGCCATGAAAAAGATTCTCATAGAATGCATAATAACATCAAGGCGTCCATTAAAAACTGAAGGAAAATCTCGACACGGCAGCTGCCCTAAAAAATAGCTTCCATATTAACACGGTTTTTTAAACATTAGCCGTATACATATAGTGCATATGAATATTTTGTTAACATTTAATAATAATAAAAATATGAAAAATCGTTGTTTTCTTCCCAACAGGGAGCGGAAATGACAAAACCAATCGACAAGAAATTCTACAAAGGCACTAATCCCAGTTGTCATGATTTCAATGCGACATCAGCCACACCTACTGGTGCGCCGTTGCTCGTAGGATTCACAACAGGGCAAATTCAGCTTGTTTCACCACAGCCAGGACCGCGTGAATTACGAAAGCTATATAATGAAGAAGTATTTGAAATCCAAATAATTTTAATTAAACTCTTAAGCATAAATTGATCTTTTGTTTTATTTTCCCTTTTAGCGGCTTATTGATAAGACCAAAGTGACATGCTTAAAATGGTTACCAAATTCACCGAATTTATTTCTGGCATCACACGCCTCTGGCAATCTATATTTATACAACGAGGATCTACCCTGCACACCGACTGCACCCAATTATCAGCCCTTCAAAATGGGCGATGGCTACACAATACTCACCTGCAAATCCAAGTCAACGCGCAATCCACTCTATAAATGGATATTCAACACAGAGAATTGTTGCATCAATGAGTTTTGCTTCTCCCCATGTGGCTCGAATTTGGCCATCGTATCGCAGGATGGATTTCTTCGTGTATTTCACTATGATACCATGGAGTTGCTTGGCATTGCTCGTTCCTACTTTGGTGGTTTTTTATGTGTATGTTGGTCGCCAGATGGCAAATATATTGTGGTGGGCGGTGAAGACGATCTAGTGACGGTGTGGTCCCTGCATGAGCGACGTGTGGTCGCACGGGGACAAGGTCATCGCTCCTGGGTGTCAGTGGTGGCATTTGATCCGTATACCACATCGTATACCAACTGGGATGGTGGTGATTTTTCAGACGACGAAAATCAAATGAATGAATATAGTGTTGGACGAGAAGCGCGTTTCTCTGCCGATTCAACTGCTAATGGATTTGATTTTCCCACTGGAATGAGCGGTGTTGCGCATGACAAAAACTCAACACCGAATAACTTACGGCAACGGCCACACTCAGCATCTTTTCGTTCAGATGCGTCCTCGTCGGCGGCATTAGCGCCTGATAAATTGGCAATCAGCTACCGCCTTGGTTCCGTCGGACAAGATACACAGATTTGCCTGTGGGACATAACAGAAGATGTGCTACGGCACCCGCTGTCGCTGCGCCAGCGAGTCAATAGCGTAAATTTAAATGACACTAGTTATATGAACGGCGGTATAGATGCTGATGGCATCAAAGTGATACGGCCAATAGCCATAGGTAATATATCGGGATCCTATCCGGCACCCCAAAATGCCAGCAGTCCAACGAAAGAAACGGTAGGGCCTGAGAACAACAGCAACAGCAGCTCAAGTAAATTTTCCACGGCGAACTGCACCATATCATCCCAATCGTCGAATGCCAACACGCCACCGGATGAAGCTGGACCAGCCGGCGCAAACCCCAATGCGAACAGCAACAGCAGCAAAGCAAACAACTCAAACAAGGCGAACGCAACAGGTAACTCTATAAAATTTCCAAACTGCATCAGTGCCACCAAATCGGGCTCCATTGAAGGCAACATCAAGGACAACGTTTCCACCTTCTCCACGTCCGGCTACAACAGCAAGAACTCGAACAGTTCCACCAAGTCTTCAGATTCAAGCGTCTCAGCATTCAACAGTCTCACGCAACGATTGTCGAATTTTAGCTTTCTGAGCAACTCTGATAAGAAGACCTCATCAATTTCCGGTTCCTTTGATGCATCGCAAATCGCAGCGACGCATCGCACACATCGCAAGGGCATGAGCCTGCTCAAGTCCAACAACCAAGCCAACAGTAATCACAACCACCAACAATATGGCACGGGCAGTAGCACATCAGCTGGCATCGGCATGGACCTCAGTAGCAGCAGCGCTGCCGGCAGCGGCGGGAGTGGGGGCATTATCGGCAGCAGCAGCACGACAGCGCATAGTTTCGGCTCACTGAAGCTGGGTAAATCATCTACTCATTCGCATAGCTCGTCGCTGAACGCAGCCTCGAATGCGGTGGTGACTTCCTACGATCCCATGAAGCTGATCGGCACTCCTTCGTGCCCACGCTTTGACGAATGTCCACTGCTGGAGCCGCTCATATGCAAGAAAATCGCACATGAACGACTCTCGGCGCTAATATTTCGCGAAGATTGCTTCCTAACAGCATGCCAGGATGGCTTCATCTACACGTGGGCGCGACCCGGTTATGCGACCGTAAGTTGTACAAAATAAGAGATTCCACGTATTCCTTTATTAATTTATTTTACTTCTTGCAGCAAAATGTACCACAGCATTTATCACCAAGTCAAGCGGCGCCTCCAGGTGGCACGGTAATATAGTTCGATAAAATTAACATAAATAATTATGAACAGAATCGGATCAAGAGCAGCCGCAGGTCGTTGGAATCGCCGGAATAAATTTTCGTAAATAATCAATACGGCGTATACAACAAAATAACCTATGGGTAATTAGTAGCTGGTGAATTGAGTGAAATGAAAGTGCATGCGGATTACACTTGCGAATCATATAAACAAAATTCATATAAACAACAACAAAAAGTAAACAAAAACATTTGAACGTCATTTAAAATGACGATGAATGATAACTATAAACCTATTTTCAAATATTCCACTGTAATTAGCATAAATATATACAAGCAAAGTATGTAAAACAATACTATTATGCATATTAATATAAATATATTAAATATTTTTAGTAATGATTAAGTCAACTTGTTGAAAGCAAAAAAAAAAAGAGAAAACATTAAAACAGGAATACATACAAAGCAAATAATACATTTATGTAATATGTAATAAACGACACGAAAAGCATTGCAAACAAGAGAACCACAAAAACAAATAAGAAACATCAAACAAACGGCAGCAGTAAAAAGAGAAAAGACCTAACGAATGCTATCAAGCATTTTAGAGAACAGTACATACATACATACGTTCATTTGTGCACACATGTGTTTTTGTAAACTGTCCGAGACGTTAGTAAAGTAAACATTGTTATCTTGTGTGCATGAAAATTGCTACGGAACTGAAACTTGAAAAGTTTATACAAAAATATAATAAACATTAATTATAGTACACATAATAGATTTCACATGCAGTATATGTAAACACAGCCAGACACATAACGAACTCGATTGCATTTGGAGACAAACTGAAAAGATCAAAGAAGAAATTTTTTAAATTAAATAGACAAATACATACATACATATGAATATACAAACTATTGTGGAAAATTTTATTACACCACTTCTCGGCTTATAACACATACATGCATATACATATATGCTATAAATAAAATAGCACACATTGATGCATACAATATAACATAAACACATAAAAGAGCATGCAGCTTACTACTTTAAGATCAACGCCAGCAAGCTTCCCAAACTCCATCCAAGTAATAAATTTACTTTTGTCTATAATTTTGCAAATTTCATCTTTGTCAGTCAAAATCTTCGCTTGGAATAAGGTACAACAGTCTTTTCGTATAATTATAATTTTCTCCCTATAAAGGAGATTTTTGAATGAGTGTATAGGTTACTAGCCTAGATCTAGTTTTTTCTACTACTTACCCAAGTAATTGCTTTAGCACCATAACAAGAAAATCCAGCCGTACTATTGAATTTCTTTATGTATACATACATACCTGTTACCCAGTGTTGAACCTGCTTAAAGAATGGCCAATAGTTTCCTCATACTAGTGCATCTTTCTTTTGAAAACAGCATTTTCACTATTTGTCCACCGCTGTATTCTAAAAATTTTCTTTCGCGTACCTCACCTAAATTGCTGCTTTGGGTGGCTACGCTAAGCTTGCGTGTAAATGTATCGTAAATTGAAGTTCAGAAATTATGTATGTTTCGTAAATGTTTAACTTTAAATTTGTTTTACAAGTTGGTTTTTGAAATTTTTTCGTTCTTGTTCTTCATGTCGCATTTTAGTGAAATGGTTTGTATGATAAAACTTTTGTGCATTACTTAGTTTACATATATTGGAAAACGCTATGTTGTTAATGTGTTAAACATACATAAATTAATATATACATACATGTATACCTAAATAATATATAGATTTGTTTATGATTTAATGCTATTACTATTATTTATATGTATATTAAAGTCATATCATTAAAAGAAAATTTGATTAGTATTAGTGCGTTAAACGGCTGAGCAGCGATCGGGGATCGCTTTGAATGGTTGAATGGAAATGTTACAAAAAAACAAAAAAAAAACAAATAATGTGCAAAAGAGAGTAAGAGAGGGCAAGAGCGAAAATTGTTAACGCTGTTTTATTCATGTAAATTTTTGCTTAAATGTAAGTCTATGTAAATTAAAGAGAAATTAAAAAATATTGAAATATATTGTTATGGTAACTTTAAAACGAAATTTTAAATAGCCTACATGCGCAAGGACACGGGCATACTTTAAACTTTCACAACACATCTATTAGTAGTGAGATTCTGGAATGTGCAGACTTTGAAAGGGGTTTATAAATATATGTTGATTGCGCTGTGTTTTAACATCTTTTTTGATGGAGGTGTTCTCTTCGGAATTCCTCTAAAATTCTAGGCATTTGTTTGCACTTTGGTTAAAAGCTGCTGCAGCTGCGGTTTTATTTCTTTCGATTCAAACTGAGTAATCTTCCGATCAACAATACTGTTATTCAGGCCCTTCAGGACCTTGGATTAAAAACTAGGAAAGTTTTTTTTTTACATTTCAGTCGGGAATTTTTTATCTGAAAAGATGAATACCACCGATTCAACGGCTCAGAGTACCAGTTATCAGGTGTTATAGAAATCGAATCGAATATCGTATATGCTCAACAAGCAGTTCCTCGTAGGTTGCTACAGACGTGACTACCCGAACAGGCACTCGCTTGAGGCGGAACCTTCACCTAGGCACGTCAGAAAGCGTCTTCACGAACTGAACAATTGGTGACAATAGCCAACTTCACTAACTCACGTCCTGTGAATGCCATCATCAGAATATAATCGCTACATATCGCAGGTTATTAGCTTCGATTGGCAACATAGAAACGCATTGGCCTGACTCAATTGCGGTTAAATTGTAGTAGGTTAAACTACTATCTGAAGAGACGGAGCTTTAACTGCCAAGAGAGACCCGCGTTGCCCTGGCTCATTTACGGTCTGGATATTGTAGCCGCCTCAACAGCTACCTGTCCAGACTCGATCTCAATATCCCCAATGAGTGTCCGGCATATGGAGATATCCCGCACGTCACCAACCGCGGCTTTGCATGCCAGCTCAATCCGACTCAACTGACACCCCTCTCCCTTTGGTTCGACCCTATTGAAACAGCTCGTTTCCGTAGTGCCGCTACAACAACAACAACAACATCTTCCACTCAGCTGTCGACATATAATACCCCTTAGGGAATATTGCAAAAGTGATTGCCCTTCTCGGCCCGATTATTTAGATCGTCGCGGTTACATACAGTCATGTGAAAAATAATAGGGATTTAAATTTTTGATTAGTTTTGACTATTGTTTTGTTTTGTTTAATGTTTATTTTTTTTTTTTTTGTAAAAATACAGCTCGTTATCTAACAAAAACCATATATGTACATAAGTTCACTTTTCAAACTTTGTAGAAAAATTATAAAAAATCAAAAGCAAATTTACAAAAAATTTAAGAAAAATAAATTAAGTAAGCAGTTTAAGCTTGAATTTAACATAAAAATGGCTACTTACTTTTGTGAAAAATTCCTAATTAAAAATTTGTTATTGTTGTAAAATTTTGTTAATTTTTCTACAAGGTTTGAAATAAGACTTAAATGGGTTTTGTTAAATTTGAATATAAAAAAAAATAAACATTAAACGATAAGCAAAAAATAAGGAGAGTCGAAACTGGTCAAAATGTCATGTCCCTATTTAGTGGGAACGATACAATCTTGTTCGTCGTTGTACAATCTTGGCCACACGAATACCAAGTCATCTGCATAAATGTGTGTACCAAGCGCGTGCGAAGCGAACGCATAGCTTCGTGCATACACATCGTTAGCGTTGGTGTGAAAACACGAAAGCGAAATTGTACAATGTAGATCTTTTGGCCGGCTAGCTCTCTCGATTAGCCATCTGCGTTCATAGACATGCCCTTTTAATCGAATCGAATATGTGACAAATACAGCACACTGAAGGAAATACGATTATTTTAATTGGATTTCAAAGCTTTGCAACCTTAAAAATGTTTCTGGTATAAAAATTTACAGCCAAGTCTTCTTCAAATTGGAAACCACAACCATCTCTCGGTTTGTGCCGAGTTTTTCCCTTATTGTTTCTCTTTCATTGTGAGGAAGCGCCACTTTTTCATCCCGAGAGCAGGCCTGTTCATCTGATCTTACGTAAAATACTTAGTTCTCTTGAAAGTCTACAAAGACTTTTCATCTCAACATCGTCAAAAACTGTGAGTAAATGGCAAGTGTTCCTAAAAATACAAAACGTATCTTAGAGCAGCAAGGGAATTCTGACAACCGTTACGCTAAACTTTCGTCGTCAAATTTCTCTAAATGAAAAGCTGTAGGGCCTAAAAGTATGCAACGTTAAAAAGATAGCTGATGCGATGTGTAATCAGCCAAATGTGACTGAGGGGCACGTAAGTGGATGTTGCATACTGTTGGGCGCGCCTGCTATTCCTTGTGAGATTTTTTCGATCAAAATTAGCGAAAGCGAATGTTGGAATACGGCTGTCGAACTCTCTACACCACGCGCTGAATACCTAAAAAACCTGGTGTGGAGTTCTGCTCTTAGATTTTCATGTTTCATAAATTTAGGCGCACATGTCATTCATTTAGAGATTTTTGACAATCGAAATGTAGCGTAGCATTTCTATAGAATCTTAATGCAGACATTTGTAGAAGAATTGAACTCCTAATGGAATTTCGGTCATAAAAAATTTTCCTACATAATAATTTGCCTTATTACTTACATGTGTACTTTACAATTGAATATGTGTATTCATCGAAAACTGTAAAAATGTATAAAATTCAATTTAACTGAAAACTAAAAAATAGTAAATAAAGAAAAATTAAATTTTCTAAAAATAGGGCAAAATTAAGTGCTGAGCGAGCAGTTAAACATAGACCTCAATTGGTGATCGCTACAACGAAAGTAACTCACAAAAAGCAACACAAGCAAAAGAAGTAAATGTGCACAGTGAATGAGATTTCGTATGAGATCACAGTCTTTTGGAATAAAAAAACCCAATAAATTAAAAAAATACATACATGGGCGAAATGAAATATGGTACAAGCACTTTTGAGCATTTTAAAAATAATAATTTACGCAATTTAATTGGTTTTATTTTATTTGAAAAACGAACGAAAAACAATACGAGAATGAAAAAAAAGTTAAACAATTCTTAAAAAAGTTTAAAAAAAAACATTAAAAAATCATTAAAGTCCGAAGCAAATAATAGGTGAGTGATACAAACAAAAAATTTAGTGAGTGTAGTAAACTAAATATTTTATGTTACTTCTCTTTTTAACTATAAATTCACTAAAACGATGTGGCATAGAAGCAATGAGATTTTGGAGTGTAGTCTCACCAATTTTTGACCACTCTTCAAATAAACCCTTTTTTAAGTCCAACAAGGTTTCTAACTGGGGCTCATTTGTTAAAATGTTGTTTGAAAGCTGCCTACACAGATTTTCAATACCAATACAAAAAACCCGATTTCATTTTTGAAATTACTGGGAAGTAATCCTTGTAGGAGTAAAGTTTCAACAAATCACCAACATTTGTATTCTTCAACATTTGACCATTTACACGTCAGTGCTGATAGCAGCGACGTGGTAAGTCTCAATAGTTTTTAATTGATTAAAAATTGTTCCTGCCAAATTAGGGATGGAACGTTTTCTTAGTTTGAATAAAATGGTTATCTAAACAGCATGGTACCTCTTTTTATCTTGTGCGGAAATTTTTTCCAGGTACACCTAAAAATAGAGTCAGATGGACTGACTGTACTAAGTATACTATCAAGGAACCATCTGCAAATACAATTTTCTTTTCTGACAATGAGATCACAGCTTTTACACTTAAGTTCCACAAATTTTAGTTGCGAAAATACAGTTTTTGATTTTTTGTACAACCTTTGTTTGCGAAAAGCCGTTACACATATGATTCATATAGTTTTTTAACTTTTCATCACTTTCGCCTCAAATTGCTACACTTAAAAACTATTATTTTTTTTTTAACTTTTTTGAGCTCAAAGTTTGCTATGGTCTTGTAAAAACTATGTATGTATCTAATTCATTATAAGATAAATCAAAGTAAAAAACCAAAAGCTTAAAAAGCGTAAAAATCGCTTTTATTTGATATAATCTTATTTTTTGTTGTTTACCATTAAGTTGAGTTATATAGAAATTTTATATTTTTTATTAGAATTAAAATTTGTTAATTCATAATTACACGCCTAAATACAAGCAAGCATTCAAAACGCTCATCATCACTTATATACACATCGTACATAGTACATATGTATGTATTAGCATCATTGTAATGTATTCGACAAACATTAAAATAAAAAAATTAAATAAAAATACAAAACTCTTAATAAAAATAAAAAAATAACAGTAATCTAAATGAACCATAGCAAATCGAAAGAAATTTTTAACAAATAATTTGTTATAGAAAATAAAAAGCAAAATGAAATGCATTAATGATAGCAACAAATAGCAAAGCCACAGTACAGCGCATATATGTATGTGCGAATGTGTGTACGAAATTATATTTTCTAGCATAAGTTATTAAATATAATTACAATAAATATTACATATTGACAATGATGATGGCGATAATGATGATGTTAAAGACAATTATGTTCGATGGTCGAGTGTGCGGTGATTCACAAACAACCATATGAATGTATGTTTGTATACATGAAAAGTGCATGCAGACATAAGCATTTGTAAATCATCGGAAAGAGTTTTCATATAATTAAAGAGACTAAAGAATTCAATAAATATTATTATTACAAAAATATATAAATATACATATATTAATTTAAATATGAAGTTGGGGGTTTTTATTGGACACTAGGACATTCCGAGCATTAAAATAAGCATCGCTGTAACTGAAATTGCGGACAGAGTGGTACAGTTGCATGGTATGGAAGGTGGTCACCTGGAACGGCTTCCTGTAAAAACCTGCAAATCGTGAAGCAGCTGGACCGGAACTATTAAGTATATGTGTCAGAATTTATTCTGCTCAAATATGAGTTAATTCTGCAGAAGTAGCCAGCACGAAGTTGTGCAAGTGTCGAGCGGGTCTCCCTAGGCAGTTAAAGCTCTATCTCGTCAACGGTAGTAGCTAGTTCTCCGATAACGGCATTAACAGTTCGGATGTTGGTGTAGTTTAAAACCGATGTTGCCAGATTTGCTTTTTAAAGAACTAAATTTCTGAAAAAATGTATTTTTGACCAAAAACTTTATTATACATACATAAATAACAAAAAGCGTTTAATTTAAAATAAAAAAGCTTAAACAGTTTAAAAAATTACACTTAATTAAAAATTTTCTTTATAGAATGCAACATTTAAATCACATTTTGTTTAAATGAAGTTCAGTTTCATTATCTAATATATAAAAATTGTGTGGCACGGTGTTTGTGGTCAAACTCCTCCTAAACGGCTCAACCGAAGTATATGAAATATTTAGTGTATATATGGTAGGTATGAGAATCGGATATAAAGTATATTTCATACCACTAGGTGCAGAGGGCGCGGCACCTCCCATACAAACCGAATTTTTCATACCTCATATCTATGGAAGTTTTCATGATAGAGTACTCGAACATGGTATGGAGATATATGAATCAATCCCATACTCTTACAGGCTAACCTAATATTCGCGACTTGCGTTTTGGTACCTATGCCGTTTTGGTAGAAGCCTACGGCTTCTTTCGTGAAATCATTGAAAGCACCAGCGATACCTTGCGCATGCGTTTAGAACGATATGTAAGTTGGCAAATCGTCGAATTTCTAGGCTTCTTAGAAGCAGAGGATACAGGATTTAACAAAGTGTCGAGTCCCACACTTTAATGCCAACAACATTTTTTACAACAGTTTTTTGGCTCTCCTCAAAAGTACCTATTTTCACATTCGATAGTTTGACACGGTAGCGACGACATATTCAAAGTATATTTTGCCACAATTGAGGAATGTGGCCAACCTTTTCAACTGAGAGGTGGCCAACCATCGTTCCTACGACAGTCGGGTCTACGTAACCGGAACGACCCAGATTTATATCTGGCCAAGGAGCAACACTCCCCAAAAACTCTTTGGGGAATCTATATGCTGTTACAACAACAAGACATATGTTTCGTATGTCGGGATCGAGTCTAGATAAATATGAGTTCAGTCGACTGCAATATCCAGGGCTCGAATTGTCACATAGATATCGTACTACTCGTCACGTAAAAACACATTTTTCGGATTATGACATACGGGAACGTACCCTTTGTCCCATTCAGTTTTTACTGCCTGACGTATCACCTAATTTTCTTTCGTATCGTTTTCGATCCGCGAACGCATGTTACGATTCGAGGCCAGAATTTATTTGGGTCAGAGTTATGCGGATCTCCGGCGCCTTTAAATAATTCTTGAAGTGAATATACATTAGAGTGGTCCAAAAATGCATGGGAAAAAGTAAAGTCGGAATTTACCGAATTTACGAAAAAATTTACCCCATTTTTTATTTTGAAATAAAAAAATATTTAGAGTTCGCTCAAAGCGCCCAAAGTTTTCCATGTATTTTATATGGGGAAAAAAAGAACTTTTCGTAGAAATGGTATATAATTCTTAAGAATAAATATTGAAAAATGTAATGGGCGGACCAATAAAAAATCGTTAGTATTAAAAGATGGTTAAATAAACAATTGGGTATTATTATTGAAAATCTCTTGAAGAGAACCAGAGTTTTCCGATCGAAAAATATTGATTTTCGAGAACTCTATACCATTTCTACGAAAAGTTGTTTTTCCCCATATAAAGATACATGGAAATCTTTGAGCGTTTTGAGCGATCTCTAAATATTTTTTGATTTCAAAATAAAAAATAGTGGTATACTTTTTTCGATATAGAACGATCCTAGGGGTTAGAGCATTACAATTCCGACTTTACTGTTTTTGGACCACCGTAATATACATACATATGTAAGTAAACATTTTTCTTCTTTATGCGGGATCGATGTCTACCCATAGATGCCTATGTATAAAAGAAAGTACATAGTTTATTGAACACTTTAGAAGATCTCATTTACCTGTCCTATTCCTACCCGTACTGGTAGCATACACTTTAAATAAAAGTTCATTTTCTAAAGAAGTGTTATTTTTCCATTTTTTATTTAGGTCATTCGCTAACAAAAATATGCTTAGAATATGGAATTGGATTTAGTATTTATGTATGTTTTATATTCGCATTAAAAAGCTTTTTAATTAGTAATCTCTATTTTCGATGACATATAGCACTAGTTCCGATTCATTTCCTCATTTATATAAAACTTCAAATATCATTTTACCACACCGCGTTTTAAAAAAGGTTTAATTGCATATTTAGATTTTCATTCCATGCGCCTTTAAGGATTAATTTCAATACAATAATACTCTCTTTATTGCATACATATGTATAACGCCGTTCATATTTTAAATTCATACAAAATATTTCAAAGATTTTCTTATAACAAGCAAATAAACCAAGTTTTCGAAAAATGGGGGAGCTTTATATGCCTCTAACGAGTCGCTCGTAATAAAATAATCACGATTAAGTATTAAAATTGTGTATTTCTAACTTCTAACGTAGCAGCATCCGGCAAATACAAGTGTTTCGATAACAAAAATGATAAGAAGGCTTGGCCGCCGACAATAAGAAATAGAAAATACAGTTTCCGTTTTCGTCCACCAGTATAATCAAGTTGCTGTGGATTGCCGTAGGGATCATAGTTGATGGCGCCACTACTGGCTGGTGTCGCATCGTGCAGCACTTTAGTTTTCAGTGTACGTAGCTGTGAAATGGAAAAATATTTACAAAAATGTAATCAGATATTTTAAAAATGTGCATACCAAAAAGAAGCCCAAAGTAAGACTCGTGTATAAAAGGGCCACATAATAGCCAACACCATGGAATAGTGTGCTAACCAAAAGGCATGCTACTATTATAACAAATTTGTAACCAGCAAATGCGAGCAAATCAAGTGTTCTTAAACTTGTTTTTATATTGACCACATAGAGAGTGATCGAATAAACCACCAACTCAAAAATACAGTAGGCTAAGGCGCTTGATGCTTGTATACCGAGTTGCTCCGGCGAAAAACGATTCTGCATACCCAGCATGAGACCAGCAACAACCACGTACGTTATATAGGCCATCGCAGGAATATATAGGTCTGGCGCATTGATGTCATAGCGTGGCTGTACAGGATTCTCTTGATCGTATTTCAGTGACCAATCCTACAGAGAAATTGTAATTAATATTTAACATTGATACGATTTTTTACTTGCTACACACCCTATGCGTGAAGGGGAAGAACAGTAAACGTAATTTATTGATGACATATTTGTTGTCCACGGCAAAGTAATATTTCAATTTCGCGACGGACACCCATTTCTCAAACTGATTTTCAACCATCTGTTTGCCTTGATCTGCTAAACGTTGACCATATTGCATGGCCATATCTTGTACAATTGGCTGTTGGAACATCGCAAACTGTGGCATACCAGATTGAAATTGTGCTTGAACGCCAGGGGCGTTCATACCAGTTGGTGCTCCGCCCATAGGCATATTTCCAGCGTACTGTGGCTGCACATTTGGACCACCAGCAAACGACAAATGTTGAGAAGTGGGAGGTGTGACATAGTTGTAATTTGCGCTTTGTACTGGCGCTGCACTGTTGTCGAAACCTCCCACACTAACAGCTGGTTGCTGTGCGTTTATACCATAGCCAGTTGTTAATCCGACGGTGGGATCTTGCATTGCCGGTCCAGCTGATGGTTGCATATAAGGCAGGGGAGCGGTTACCGGTGCTGCTGGTCCCATAGCATTCACATCACTAACACGCTTTGGCTTGCGGGATGGACCTTGAGCTGATGCAAAGGAAGAAAGTAGAGTTTGATTAATATTAACAATACTAAAATGCTTTTATGTTTAAACTGCAAGGCGAACACGCGCAACAAGTACTAAATTAAAAAAAACTTCTAAAGTCAAATTATTAGTACTAAATTAAACAAAACTTATTAAGTTCCTTACAAACGATAAACATAAAATCAAGGTAAAATGCAGTTAATAGAAATAGTCAAAACATTTGTGGTATAGCCAATTATACGAAGGTAAGCTGCAGTAATTTAGTCACTACCAGACTAAACCAAGTGGATGAAGCCAATGTACTTGCGCATTCTTCGTTCTTACAGTATTCCGACTTACGATTCCGGATCCCAGCATTTGGATTGTAGTTCATTTTGACCTTTTATTAAATGCACAATGCTGAAGTAGGGAAATTAAAGAATATTTATAAAACTTTCAATAACTATTTAAATCGCTAGTACACATCACCAAATAGATCAATTTGACACAACCGCTGACAGCTGTTCATTTTCTTATTAGAATTATAGGGTGTGGCCAGATCCCCAATTTTGCATATTTGCCTACTATAAAATATGTTACATAGAATTCGACTTAACATAACATAACAGTTTCGTTAGTAACTTCTCCAATTAGTACTTACTACAAAGGCGTTAACGCCCCATCAGATATAAATTCGGGGAAACATTTAGTTATTTGTTCAATAATTGTGTGATTTAGAGCGGAGGGGCTGTGGCACCCAAAACCCCACCCATTAGAAAGATCACATTCAAAGAAAGAAGTCCTTCCCCTCTCTGATCCCTCTACAAACCTCCGAGGGCACATTTTAAAATGCGGTAAAATAATCTTTTCGATATGAAAATGTAAACTCGGGCTATGCCATCCACAGTACTTTGCAGCACAGGCCACCCCAGAAAGCTTATCTTTGGCACTGAAGCTTGGCAGATAGGCGATTCGACATTCTGCACCATGTACAACGACGCCCCTCCAAAATTAAGGGTGGCTGCAGCAGTTCGCCAAACCTAACAATTGCTGGCTCAGGTCTGATAAATGGCATAACAATGCGATTTGCATATGCTACCACTTGCATCAGTCCACCTCACCATACTTATCTCGATCAATAAGCACACCGAATTTGTTCCCGCAGACCACGAACCAACACCAACTTTATTGGAATGGCTTCGCGAAAATTATCGATAGCAGCTTCACCGCCATTCCTACACCCAGAGACACAGGGGCTCGCTTCACCCCATGCGAACGTAATTTAACGTTAATTTTGAGATTGGGCACTTGAAGATCTTTAACTTTGCCTTTGGCGTGAGTAAACTCTAGTCAACCATGAGGTCCCTGTCTAACTCAACGAGACACAGTGAAAATTCAATTCCGTGGACCCGAATCCTTGGATCCGACGAAATGCGCAAACTATTTTAGCCAGCAGTTCACATTGCATCGTTCTGTAGATAGAACCAAACGTCGCGTGACCAGGAGGCTACACAAACCCAAAAACAGTGCTCTTTTACTTTCACCAGCGGTGAAGTTAAGGTAGCCATCGGAAGCTGAAAGCCTCCAAGGCCATTGGACGCGTCGGAATTTGCATGCTGATACTGAAACATTTAGGGACCGAAGGAGTAGCATATCTCACCTCTACTTGTCAATGGGCCCTCTCATCATTCCGATTAGTGGAAATCGGGAAGAGTGGTCCCACTGATTAAACCGGGAAACCAGCCAACAAAGGAGACTCGTATCACCCGACAACACCCCTTTCGATGGTCGCGAAGAAACTTCATACCCTGCTACTCCCATAATGTATGCACCATCCAACCTCAGCGAAGCATTCGTAAAGTGCACAGAACAACACCACCACTGAACGCCATAAACCCCCAAATAACTCGTGACCTAAACCGTAACTGCCCCTGTGAGCGAACAGCCCTAGTAGCGTTCGAATTGTTAAAGGCGTTTGACACTGGAGGGGATTTATCTGATCTCGTACACTGGCAACTGCCTGATATTGGCGTCTGGGAATGGAATTGGTGACCTCTACTCAAATGTAACTGGTATCTCCCTGAGCTTTCGCGCTTCGTCACTGCAAGGAAACGGTGACCCTCTTCACCGCCTGGATGAAGGAACTAGCCATTCACGTCGATGGCATACCAACTCCGACGATGAACAACCCGAAAATTTTAGGGGTTATTCTTGATAGCGTGCTCTCCTTCTTCGCGCACACAACCGCAGTAATTAACAAAGTAGAGAGCCACAACAAGGTCCTCAAGTTGCTTGCCGGCAGCACCTGGGGCAAAGACAAAGAAAAGTTGCTGGCAACATGTAAGACAATTGGCCGGCCGGTTCTGAACACTGCTACGCCTATTTGGCCGTCGGGGACGACGCAGGTGGACCAAAGAACGTAAATGTACATTTACATAAGTAGACTCTCCTTATTTTCGAGCTTAATTCCCTAATCTGTAATTAGAAAGGCCAGTATGCAGCTCCCAAGAAAAGCCAAAACTCCATATATAATGACGTACAAGAAATGGCTAAAAGCGACGTAGCGTAGACGTAGGTCGACGCAGACACGGTCTACCTTATGGGATTCGCATGTTACTGGCCGTCTCCACAGGATAAAATTTATTGCTGCCCAGCTGTCATTTTGGTCGCTAGATATAAGTTATATCAGTGGCAATATTTGTGTGGGCTTTTTATATCTTGATATAAGCATTTGTAAGATAGCTTCAAAAACGTATTTTTGCCAGATTTAATCGCTTAAAAAATTTAGAAAATAGGCTATTTTACATCCAAATACATAGTTACAAATATTTTAACAGGAAACAGCTCAATTTTTGCTCTATATTAAAATAATAATGATGTTGCAGCCACGAAGTTTTCGTGCAAACGAAGAGCATTGAGCGGTCCCCATTGGCAAATTATATTCTGACATATGTATCAAGATATAAACTTTATCCTGTGGAGACGGGCAGTTAGCGAAAACTCCCCACCGCATGGCGGTGACGTTGCCGTTGCTTCTCTCTCTCTCTCTCTATCAACAGTAAATTTTATATGCTGCTACGTACGTCAACCTACGTTTACGCTACGTCGTTGACTAACTACGCTTTAAGAAATTTTCTTGAGGCAAAACTCAGTTCTTAAAAAATTTGCTGCGCCTTGTACTATGGTTTTCTAAAGTTTTTGTGAAAAAAGAGCACAAGGCAATCCATGCTTGCAACAGAAATATATGCCCGTTCCAGTATTTCTTGAAGAAAGAGCGAGGCAACAGGCTGGTGAAGTATCAATCCTCAAAATTCCTTGGACACACACACGAAATAATGGTAATTTTTTTCTTGACCCGTTTCTTGAGACCTGCATATCAGATTTAAATGCAAGAAATCTCATTTTTATGATGAACTAATTTTTGACAGTTTGGCAACTGATTCGTTTAGTGTTTTGTTATTTAAATATATAGTCAAGTGGCAACACTTATCTCTAATCATTGGTCCAATTAGAATTCAAGACCGATTCGTTCACCGTGATTAGAATACATTTAGTTCAGTTGTCAAAACGAGTATTCAACTGATGGTAGTTACGAATGTAAATTGTTCTATTCTATTTTAGTGGTATTATTTTAATAGTTTTGTGTTATATTTATGCTGGTGGCTAACAATAACATCTCATGAAAAATACAAGGTTTGGTTAAGCCGCGTTAAAAAGAAAGTTGGAACTTGAAGGCGGCTTATACGTTGGAAAACGTGAACTTTGCAAAGTTTTTCCAGTATTAATGCGTTTATATTCCGTTCAACATAAAATTTGCATAAAAGCTCTAGGCATTCCGCTTGTTTTTACGTTGTGTAGGCCGACATTCAACAGGTTTTAGCCCACAGAAATTTGAGCCGCATGTAGCCAAGGTAAGTACACACTCGCGACCCTGCAAGAAATTGTAGCAGCTCGGATGCTTGATTTTGTCTGGTCCTGTTTCGTGTGAGTTTTCACCTAACTAATTATACCTATTAGGACGAACACAATGAAAACGACGAGCTACGGACCACAGCTGTCAAATTATGTAGATAATTATTTTGGCGACGACCGGGCTACGCGACGACTGTGGCTGTGGCCAGATTAGATCTATTTCTATTTTTCCAGCGACACATAAGGTTCTTCCTCTTTTATGTCAAAGTCATACAGATTCATTATGTCGCTACCGCGTTCAAAAAAATCATGTCTTCATCGACCAAGTGTTTAGATAATGAAGATAACAAATTGGAAGCTGTGGCTTAGCTCGTCGTTTCCAATGTGTTCAGAACTTATTTGGTAGGGAGCACTGCTACCAGTTCGATTCTGGCAAGGATGACATGATAAGAAACTCCCATTTTGCTTCCGAGAATCTAACTTTTGGTGCGAAGGCATTGGAACATTTTGGCAGCATACGAACTATTTTTGTTTAAAGTGAAAATTTGTTAACAGCTGTTTCTTACAGGGGTTGATGGATATGTTTGCACGTGTTTTTCGTTTTTCTGCGCCAACCGCGAGTTCACTGCAGTGTTGCCATTCGAGCACTTTTGGAGCTAGATTTAGCTCTTTGTTATTAACCGACTACAAAAAAAGGTGGAGGTTATCAATTCGTCGGAATATTTATTTTTTTTTGTGTATGTTACCGCATAACTTTGGACCACGTCAACCGATTTCGAAAATTTTATTTTACTAGAATTTTATAAGCTTGTTAACTGCATACCCCGAAAATTTCTAAAAATTCTGGTTCAAAAGCTCGAAATTTAGATAAAAATTTGTGGAATTTTTCTAAGTTCTGTATAAAGTTTAAAAGTGTGATTTATATAGTTCTTGTTAAAGCATAACCCATATTTTATAAAAAAATGTCAAAAAAAATTTAGCTTAAAAACATTGGCCCGTAGTCATAGTCAAAATAAAGTCGACTTTAAAGTTAGTTGCAGCTTTTTTGACAGATATCCCATTGAAAATTATGTCAAAAAGCTGCAACTAACTTTAAAGTCGACTTTATTTTGACTATGACTACGGGCCATTAAAAATATTAAAAACGAAATACCATTCATCCATTTTTGCCCGCCACTGTACATATTAACTCTCAGGCGGCCACGGAAGAAAAGGAAGGACAAATCTTAAGCATCGATAAAGTTACAAATTTTGAAATTCAGTGGAAAAATATACATTTGTAACCACGGAAAAATACAGGCAGAATTCAAAAATAAATTAGAAGAAAATAATTTTTCTGAACGCGGGGATTTTACGTTACTAATTTTACCTAAAGGAGAGAAGGAAATAAAACTTTTCAGAAAAATTTTGCGAAAAAATTATTGGTAACCCGACGTTTTATGGCCAATTCAAATATCAGAAATTTCAGAATTTAACAGTTTGTAAAGTATTTTTAGTTCAGTGTCTAGTTTATATAAGTATATGCATGCATATGAGTTTTATAAGTGCAGATTATTTATTGACCGTGTAGCATGAATGCGAATGTTGAATGCGAATGTGTGAAATGATGCAA